ATTACATTTGAGAATATAACGTTCAAATATGTGATTCTCTCTGTAAAATCTCAAAACTATTGTTCTAGCTTCGGGTTTTTCCTTTCTGCTCATTTCTACATATTCTCAGGACACGATTTTTTTGATTGCAAATGAAGTCAATATCGAAATCTTTCTGAAGATTAATTTCCTTAAGAAATCTTTCATCATAAATTATATAGAATAAATATTAATCTTAGTATTGAGTGATTTCTGATCAATTGTGATTTGGCACTGTTTTATTTTTCTACTTACCTGGTCATTTTTCTACTGGGCTTGGCCACTTTTGCCAAAATATTGATATATATCTATTTATGTTTTTTTCTACTGACTATGTATATGTATGTATATGTAATCACATTTTAGTCTGAAATCTTTTTTTTGAACTTCAAAATTCGTTTAGACTTATTTGTTCATTTTATCTACTAAGATTTCAAACTTGATTTTACTTTTCTTACTAAGCGGGTTTTTAATCACAGTGACGAAATAAATTTGTATCCCATTGATTATTTTAATTTCCTACTTCGTAATTAGATTTCTAATTAGTCTCAAGTACTCTGTGATTACAAATTAATTGCAATCCGAAGGTTTGGAAGTGTAACAAAGTAATTTGTAGAGATTAGTCATATTTAAAATTCAGCTGTTTTGTGTGGGACATGCTTTCTTGGTAGAATTCAGAAAACTCGTAACTATCACACCAAGAAGTACTTGCATTGAAAGTTGTAGAACCAAGACGAACTATGTTTAGTAATAGTGATAAGAATGTGTGTAGTTGTGATTTGGGAATTATACTTATTTTTATATTTCACATTTGTGTTTGTTATACAAGAAGTGAGCCATATTACAATCAGTGGGTATTTGATGAGTGAGTAGTGTGGTCTGGTTAATTCGGTGCGACTCATTTCATTTTAGTGATCGTCACTTGTAGAAGAACATTCAGGTGAGTTCGAGTCAGTTTTTGTGTTACTTTCGGTATTAGCAGTGTGGTTAATTCTGCTGCTTTTGTTGTAATGTTTATCGAAATACACCAAGCTATCTGAAAAGTAAACATTGCGGTACATGTAGACAGTGGGCATTCCACGTGTATAAATAAAAAGTGCAGCTAAAAGATTATTGCTCCAATTATGGCTATTATTATGTATTCGAATCGCACTTTACTGCGCAAACGGATAAACAGTAGTAACCTTCACTCTCACTCCGAGATGAGTTGCCAGCTGTCTTACGTTGATTTCGTGACCGTTTACTTTTGTTAGATGATCCCGACTTCACTGAAAAAATGAAATAAAATTTATACTTTGCACCAAATTTAGAATCCCTCAAGCGATTAGTTAAGAAGTTTCTTTCCTCGACAGTTCCAGTAAACTCATGAGCTCCACGAACTTTGAATAGCATCAAGAAGATGCACACTTGAGGTCAAATTGGGACAGGATTACTCACAATCCTTCATTTAAAAAAAATGCTGATTTCAAGTTAAATGTCAGTGTTTGCTATTAACGCCATTTGAATTTGAAAGTCAGAGTACCGACCTTGTAGTCAGTTACCAACCCCAACTTGACCTTAGATTAGTCAGGAAATTAAATAATGAAAACTAGAAGATGAGTGCAGTCTCGCACACTTGCTCACCACTTTTCTTCATGGAAGTTTCAGCTTTTGTTTCCCCTTTCTCTCTGCTAACACTGTTTCTCTCTTCTAAAACTAAGCAAACATTATCAACATTTTTCGTCAACACTTTCAATTACAATTAATATATAATTACTCATGCACTTGGGTTTCACGTACCTTTCGTACTTTTTAACGCAATAAATCTGTTGCGTCGTCGAGTGTATCTTATCCTCCCTGCAACGAGTTTCAAGACTTTTTTGCCTTTTGATGCATGCGAGGGGAGCATTTTTTGCATTTTTAAATCATCATAGTTATAACATGCAGTTACAATGGAGTACGAGGAACGAATGAAAGCTCGTTCATCTCAAGGGACAAGAATAAAGTAATTATACGCACGTTTACGTTTTTCGGCGTAACGCGTCATACGTTCGGCACGTGTCGTACGTCGTTCCTTACAGACGGAGAAAGATGCGCGCTCGATATCTTCACCTTCGCTTGGTGATTCACTTTTGTCATCAACTACTGGTTGCGTGCGTTTCGCTGTACAATAATTATAAATGTAAATCGGGAGAATCGCATCGTTGTGTAAAGTAAATAAAAAGCTCAAGTGCTAAAAATTACTTGGTTTAGCAGTGACGTAAGTCGATTTAATAGGGACCTTTCTTCGATGCACGATTTTTCGTCGGGGAACATCAATTCTGAAATTTCGAGAACTGTTCGAAAATTTTTCCATCTGATTGCATCGTTGAGTGACAACTGCGCTTCTATTCTCACTCTTTTTTCGAAAGATAAATTCCCGTTTCTTTCGTAAAAATTAATATTTTTCATACTTGACAAAGTAAATTTCCATTCACTCAGTTTTTGTACAGATTTTAAGTATTCCTGCTGATTAGCATCGAACTAGTAAAACTGACACAAATTTCAGTTGGCCACTTTTATTGCCGCATCGTTTATACATTGTATGACTTGCCAAGACGCACACGCGATAAGCGTTGGTGTTGCTGAATGTATAAAACGCAAATGCCGAAGCCTAAAATTCACGAAATACGTCAGAAAATTTACCTCTGATATCCTCAAGTTATCAGTTCATACGTCGACAAATTGTATTATAGCGTACATCTAACTGGGCCTAATATGGCTGTTTATATTTTTTAATATTACTTACTATTCTAGCATAATTGGGCAGAGTGTTAAGGCGATTGATGAGATTTATGCGTTCACACCAAGACAAATTGTTCATGCGTATGCAGCGTAATATTAGATAAGAAGCGTAGACACGTTCTGGGTTAACAGTTAGCCATTCAATCGCGACGTTAACTAAGTCATACTCGCTCTCCACGTTCAAATCACAGCTGAAAATTTGTTTTATTTCTTACACTTCCATGATATAAGCAATTAAATATGCTGATTCAATTGCTCTAAGAAAATAAATTTGAAGTTATTTTATTAGTCAGTCATTTATTGGTGCTGAATTTCTAACCGGTCAAAAATGCGAACGATAACGTCGATGGGAATATCATGGAATGCTGGCACTTTGCAAATGCGTGGAAAATGCTTGACAGCGATATCGATAATCTTTCTTCCCAAGGGAGTATCCATCATCATTTCTTTGCTTATCATTGATAAGGTGCGGACCAGAAAGTGGTCACTTTGTCTTACAGATATCATTATGAACTATAATCGGAATTCGTTTCCACTTTCAATCATTTATTCATTTGGAGTACATAAAAATGCAGTTATGTCAATTTTCATTTAGTTTTTGCAGTTTGCAGTACTCCATAAAAAAGCTAAAAATTCTTTGTGATTGAAATAACTCATCCAGGCAACCACTAAGAAATTCATTAAAATTGGTTGGCTTATCGGTAAGTGAAATCGGTTAACTTCTTCGATTTTCTGCAATAATGACTTCATTTCGAGCACTTGCGCGATTTCTGTCATATCGCCGAGAATAGAAGTTGTGATGCGAGCACTGGCACGGCCACCACTCGTCATGTAATTTACTAACGTAGTGACCGCTGCCACGTCATAATCCGACAAGTCCAATTTTTCCGGTACTTTGTTCTCCGTTTGTAACTGAATCAAACACAAATTTGAGCTTGGATATTGCTCAGTAAATGAGAAGGAACAATACTTCACTTCCAGATAATGTGATTTTGACCTGTTTAATTTTGTCTGAATATTTGCTGAATAGGCTGACGTCGATGACATAGTTGTCTTTGTAGTTGTGAAGAACAATCTTCTGCTTCTTATTACCAGACCTAAAGAAATGAAGCGAAGACAGAAATACACAGATACCGCACGTACATCACTAATGAAGATAAATATAAGTGAGTCTAGCTAGCAAATTGCAAAGTGTAAGTCTATTCCATGTGAGTGCTACAGCTGGGTTGAAGATCAAAAGGAATTGACGACAAATTTAGACTTCGATTCAGCCATCACTATGCCACGACCGCTCGATGTCGCAGCAAAACATAGCAAATGTTTATGAACTACATTTGCTTGCTATAAATCTTGCTTAATGACATTTCTCGTCAACTTATGAATGGAAAGCGATGCTGCAGTCAGGTTTGTAAGCCTTCTCACAAGTATAATTCAGTACTTCCTTTCTTTATCGCCTTATGCAGTTAATCTACAATATTACTTCCCGGCAACTGTACGCTTGTAGTATTGAATGAGTGACGAATTTTGCTTCCACACTGATGTAATCTCCTCGACTTGAAAAAATGATCTGCGTATCAGGTAATTAAGTGGCTGAATGCCATAATTATTCTACTTGTCAAACGTTGTTGCTCTGTTCACTACAAATGATTCCCTCCAATTTAAACCCATATTTTCATTAACAGTTAGTTGTTCAAGTAACTGCTAGGATACTTGCATCGACACAGTAATAATAATTATCAAGAGTTTCATTTACCATTGCTCAGTTTTACGAGCTGAACGATTTGCTTTTCATGAGTAAACAATAATTTTGGATAAAATCTGACTTTGGAAACTGACGTTTCAACTCTTAAAGCAAAAAAAAAACTTTCATATCACGAAATACACTGGGAATCTTTTCCATTTAACTATCAGTTATCTACTAGACTTGCAAATATCCTGATTTCTAAATTCACAATGTTGGGATGGAATTTTTCATAGCGTTTGTTGGACCGTGCAAAAAATATGCGATGGCAGTGTGGACTCAATCATGGCTTGTTTTGTAGATTCGGTGACAGGGTGTTTAGTTTGAGTTGTGTAGTTTTGGAAGCATATTCTGTTTTTTTTTTCATGAATGTTAGGTTAGTTAAATATCATCTTTCAAATTTTACGATATAGATTTTGTTTTGAAATATGTTCTTTAAGTTGTAAAGGAAAACTTGATCTCATTGCACAGTGCAAAAATTTTCTTCTTCCACTATTATTTGTCGACATTATATCACATGGTCCTTCGTACAAGTTTTATATCTAGAAAATGACTATTTTTTTAATTTAGAAATTAACTATATTTTATTATTTTATTATTATTACTATTATTATTATTAATTGTTATCATTATTAATTATTATATTATCAGTCATTCGTAAAATCTAGAATATATTAAGTAATCCACCATAATTATTACCGTTATCGTCATTGATGCTATTTTGTGGTTCAATAATGTTGTTACTAGTATTAATAATAGTAACAGTAATAATAATGTAGTAGATGCACGTATACAGTGCTATTTTTGAACGGGGATTTATTCGTAAATAATATTTACGCCACTTAAATCACTTTTCTTTATCTTTGTCGTTTTAACTTTCCTTACATGAGTGCCATGCTTGTTGTGGATTTTCCTTCCCGCCAATTTCATTATCGATTGATATCTGTATCTTCTTCATTTCCTTATCCATCCATTTACAGCAAACACCCGTCTTATTTCATCGCTCCTGCTATAAGAATGCATCAATGCCTCTCCTTCCTTCCCTGTTCTCTTTCTTTTTGTTTTTTCGTACTGTTTCTGTTTTTTCTTTTGACTGTTTTTGCATGCATGTACAAGCCTCTCAGTATGTTTGCTTCTTTTCTTTACATCTATGTTGTTTTCGCTCTCTGTTTCTAGTGCCTCTGAGGTGGGAGTTGGAGGGTGGGTCACTTCCATCTCTTGCAGTAATCATCGTGTTATCTGATCCTTGTGCATGGTAGTTGTCTTTCAGTTTACATCTCTGGTTGTTTTCGAGCGTTAGGTGGAGACGTATTGTAGAAGGAATGCGTGAGATCGAACGGGCTGAACTGGCGAAAGAATTGGACGTTGAGTTAGATCATTTCATTGAAGGCCTCGCGAAACAGGTTTTTGTAGTTTCACTTTTAATTGCAGATATTTGTTATAATTCATGCTACAAATGTATGACTAACTAGATTTCTTGAATCATTATTAACTAATGCGATTTCATGATCATCGCTTAATTTAGTGCAAATCGTGAATTGCGTAGATAAGAAATTGAATTTATAAACATCTATTAATTTTGTCATTAAATTGTATTTCAAACAGTCTGCTGAAACAGTCTCAAAAAAGCCATTTAATTACGATGAATGGTGTAAGGAGATCGATCAGCATCCAGCGTTTATGACTGAGATAAAGCCCGATAAAAATGGCGAATTCTCAGAAGGAGTTCAGGCCTTACAAGTTTGTTATCTCAACTTTTCTATATAGTACGAAATTTTCGTTCCATAGTAAGATGCGCTTGTGGCCTGAATGGTATTGATTTCCTAAGAAAAATGAAGCTTTACATTTTCGGTTTTATAAAAGATTTTAGACTCCATTCTATTTTAAATTACTAGTTTTGATGTAAGGAAAGTATTGTAGCGTCTTTTTCAATTTAGGCTTTAAAATATGAAGATCGCAACATGCTAGGTCGGAAAGCAAACGCAGAGCAACATAAAATAGATGGCAATAGACATTTCAAATTCATGAAGTACAAATGGGCTATTGTGCGATATACTGATGGTATTTTTACTTTAGTATGCTTTAGCTGAAATGTAGTCGCGATCACAAAAGACATCAAGCTTTTCAATGTGTCTTATTCAATTCCGGGTTGTTAGGAATTGTTGAAAATTATTCTCGATTGCATCACCGAATATATTTTTGTCTGTTGCATAAGGCTTTCAGGTATTAATCAAAAGTGTGCTGATCGGTCTTTAAATTCGGTTTTGTATGCTAATAGAGCTGCTGCTCATAAGCAAATTGGAAACTTGAATGCTGCCTTTAAAGACTGCTGCTGTGCTCGAAAATTTGACCCGGAAAATGCCAAGGTTGTTTAGTGGCAGTTACAAATTGGTTTAACTACTAAATTTTTCTGTAGCTGTTAAAATTTTGTCCCAAGAAATCTTCGGAAGGTGGTGCAGGTTTTAGGCAATCATTCGTGGAGCTGAGTGCCTTATCGAACTTGGTCGCGGAAAGCAATGTTTAGATTGGCTCAGAACTAGTGACGATTATTTCGATACAAAAGAATCAATTCCACCTTACAAAGGTTCAGTAGAATTATCATGAATTTATTTATGTTCAGCTGAAAAGAAGTGGTCTTATTCATCTCTCTATCAAATGCTATCTCTCTAGTCTTACTATTGCAATCTCAGAGGTAGCACAAAAGAAACAAATGTAGGGAGTGAAAAAATTGATTATCCAAAGTGTTGGTGTTTTTCCAGGCAGTAACACAGGTATTGAACGCTTTAACAATTTGTACAAGAAAGCACTGCAGCTCTCTACAGTAGAAGAGCGAAATGAACGAAAGAAGCGACTAGAAGTGAATTTTCATAATTGCCTTTGTCCTTATGTATGCAGTGACTATACATTTAATAATTAATTATTTAATATCACTAGGCTACAAAAGATTTGGATGAAAAGCGAATACTATTATCTGCTTTTGCTGAGAGGAACATCAAATTCCGACCGGAGTTACCCTTACATGACCCTCAGTCATTTGAATGGTCTATGATTGAAGTGGATTTGCCATGGCTGAAAAATGTTTCTACTTTCAAGTTTATTTTTCTATAAAAATAGTTATTTCCACTCAGCTGATTTATTATTAAAGTTGATGGAGAACGTCAAAAAGTAGATCATTTTTTTTTGCATTGAGAGATATCACAGCTGTGAATATTGATCCTCTCCGTTCTATGTCATGAGAAGCTCATTTTTAGAAATAGTTTTCATCATTAATGTCTGAGTGACATCTAGTTTTATTCCCACATTGGTAGTACAGAGGTCAGTATTGCTTTGTTTACCATTAATTATTCTTATTTTTTCATCGTGATTTCGGTATAATAGCATCGCATTTGCACAGCTATTGCTTATATGAGTCTAATTTTATGCTAAATTTTTCACAGCGAGAAAAAGTGTATCTTGATGATTGTGGCGTAATGCATTGGCCGCTCCTAGCACAATACCCTGAACTAGGGAAGATCGATCTTATAACTAACTGTTCGGAAGAAAGCTCGGTGGACGAGGTTTTTCGTAGTGTATTCCAGAGAAATGCGTTAGCTGATGTTTCTAATTTGACGTTCAGGTAAGACAGCATCATAGTTTCTCCATTTTTTTTCGCTTGAATTTTAAAGTTGCAGTTACATTAAGTCAGAAGAGCAGTGGTCTAATTTTTTGCAGTTATAATTGTATTTCAGTAGTGATAATGTTCGATATTTTGTGACAGTAAGGATGGATAAAAATTACGACTGTGCAGAGTTTGATTCTTCTGTTAAAATTGGTGATTTATTTTCTATTCGGGGCTTCTTTGTAGAGCAAGGATTACCCAGTATTCAGGTAACACTTGCAAATTTTTACTTTTCATTGACTGTAAAATGATCATAATTTGGCACTTATTTAATAGTCGCGTGTAGAGCAGATTATAATCTGGTATTTTAGTTTCAAAAGAGTAAAGTAAATAAAAGTACTGAAAAAAGAGATTTTGGTGAAAAACTTATAAGGAATATTGTCTTCCTATTAATTTTGTTGCAGATCTACACCAAGAAACATGCCGGAATAAATTTTGTGCACATGGAAGATTGCTATTATAAAGTTAAATAAAGTGCTGCATTTATTTTTTCTTTTGCGTTTTTCGTCTTATGTGTCTTTAAGAATCAGGTTCAATGCCTTATTGTGTGATCATGTCGATTCGATTGTTCTTGACTGATATCATATTTTGGATCTTATTTTGTTTTTGTGACTATCATTGCTTGTTGTTGTTTTGAAAACATTATCTAGTACTGGACAAAACCACGTCCATAGCATGACGACACTCTAGGCTTCGGTAGTTTTTAGATGTTCATATAGATATGTTTCATTTTGCTAAATTTTTCTTCTTTTTTAATATTTCAAATTTCACAGAGAATGAAAATTAAGTACACAAAGTAATATGAAGTATGAGATGAAAATGATCGTTTTGAAATAACTCTCGATTGTAAATTTGGCATCATAGAAGGAGTTGTATTGATTATTTTGTGGTTTAGCAGTTATTGCTCCTATTTATTTAATTCATTGTTGGAATTAATTATTTCAGTCGTGTGAGTTAATGATATCATCTCATTTGTATCTAAATTTCTTGTATGTATGTTTAAGTGGTGTCCCATGTATGCTTTACATCTGTAACAGATTTTATGCTTATTGATGTTCGGTTGCAGTCTTCATCAGATTTTATTACATGGCAAGAGGCATATGTACGAAATATTGAGGTTCTGTCATTATAATAAACTAGATTATGGAGTAGGAACAACTGATAAAAGACGCAGTTTTGCTGGCAGTGTTAGTGATGAGAGTCTTGCATGTGTTGTTGCAGTACCATGATTCGATTATTCAAATTCATTAAATCTGGATAATCTTTTCACTCTTAGTTTTTCTTGTCTTTATTCTATTGCAAAAGTAAAATTGTAGTCGAAATTATATTTCAACTTCATGTCGTATTGGGATTGGTATATTATCGGCACTGGTCGTCTCGCTACCCGTAATTGAAGTTTCTGTGGTATCACTTTCAATTATATCGCTGTAATTGTGTAATGTATTTTGGTATGCTTTGATGGTTATGTTTGTATATTCCCATTTAATCTCTCCTTATTAATTTTAGATTGCCAATAAAGTTATTGATTTGATTCTTCGTTATGTAATCTAATAAATCAGTCCAAATAGTTCGTTTAAATTTTTAGAGTTAAGGATTAGATGTTTTTTAATGATTGGTTTCGCCACTTTTTACGCACATGCGTAGATTATGTTTAGGATATTTTTTGAGACAACGTACATATCGCTGGCAATTGAATCCATTGGTATATTGGGTATTATTAAACCTGAAATGCAGACTTTTGTAGTCGGATTAAGCTAGTGTGCTTTAATATGAGAGTGTGTCTCGGTTGGGTTAAATTTTTTCACATGTAACACGAAATGGCTGTGAATTAACTGGTTAAGTATTTTTTGAACCTGGAGAACTTGATGTGTGTTGTGAACCAGTACGTTGTTTTATCGCGCATTCCATGCGGCGTTGACTTTTGTTTGATCTGCACAGAAAGAGTTCATGCATTCTTGCTCCATCGATTAGTAGTATACTTCATACAGTGATTTATATACATGTGGTCATAATAACCACGTCAAGTACCATATATTTCACATTTACGGCAACAACTGTTGCAAATAAAAAAGGTAACATGATTTAAAGTGCCTCTTAGTGTGCTGTTTGTAAAATTTGTTGAAAGAATAAACCTGTAAACTTTAGATATTTGCTTTTCATTGGTATTTACATTAGTGACCTCATGTGATTCTGAAATACCAGGCACTTCTCGCCAATCCATTGGTTTCTCTCCTTTCTGTATTTTTTTGAACTGGAAAAGTTCGTTTTTTCAGATGATAAAGTTAGAAGGCAGGAGTCGAGATTCAATTCATAATGAAAGTCCAAGTCAAGTTTGTTTAATATTATAAGAGAGGGACGCAATGATTTCTGTGCATGTGAAGAGTAACCTACGTCAAGTACTATGTACTTCACATTTGTTGCAGCGTCTTTTTGAATGTGCAGACGGCGGACAAGAAGATATATATACCAGGGGAATATAACGATGCTCATGAAAATGCTTCCAACCATCCAAGTCAAATAGTAAGTTGGTCGTTGGTCGCTCGTTATTCGGTCAACGTAGAACGCTTAATTTTGCGTAGTTGGACTTCAGCATTACGAAATAAACATATGAGACTGGCAGGGTTCGTAGCTAAGTGGGGCTATTTTGTTCGTAGGTGTAATGTTATATCACTCTAAAGGTCTTTCAAAGAAAAGATAATCTGGATAGCGTGTCGCACACATTCTTCTTTAACTAGTATCTTCATCCTACTTCTAGTGCTTTTTATTTTCATGTAAATGCCATTTTCAGGAGACTATTGCGCTAAACTTGAAGTAAATAAAAATTCTCACCAAAATCACTCCAGAAACGACTATCGTTCATTTTCGACCTGTATGTCTATTCAGTTTGCGCTTATAGAATTAGTTTGTGAGTCAAGTCAAATTTATATTGGAAAAACGGATCTGAACCCTCTCATCAAATAAACTGCGTATCACCAAAGAAGTATATACGCCTATTGAGTGCTGACAACTATATGGATGGCTTTTTGAGCATAAAGATATTGGGTTTGACTGCATGCAAATTAATCCAAATTTTTTCAAACGGATTTTTTTGAATAGTTCTAATGGTCAACTTCCTGGTTTAAGTCTAATTCTCTTGATTTGATTTCACTATATCTATTTCAACAAATTGTGGTTTAATGGAATCACAAATTAATGAATTGTAGCGCGGTCTTTCAAATTCAGCTTCTTTCATCTTTGCTTCACTTATACCATTATCTCCATAAGTAAAACAAAATGAAAGTAGGTAAAATCAGCATGGCAGAAAAAATGGAACTGTTAATTCAGTTAAGCGAAAAGTTTTGAATTCTTTTTACTTCTATTTCCTGGTTTTAAAATTCACTTGCGATGATCACAAGGTTTATGTTGAAAATTTTTTATTTAAATAAAATTCTATATAAAATACAGAATACTAACTTTGAAATTAAAATTAAAACTTAGTATAACAGTGGAAAGAAAAGAGAAGTATTACTGTGTGAGAAACATATTGGGAGGGAGAGAAACATATTGGGAGCTTACAGACTAATGGTTGATTTGAGCTTTATCTCATGTTTTATAAATCTATTTGCACTGTTGAAAAGTGTGTATGTTAAGAAGAATTAATGTTGAATAGTGATAAAAATCTTAAAATATAAAGTGAAAAAATTTGTTTATAAGAGACGAGGGAGCATTTGTTCACAGGATGCTTTTTCTACTGCCGTACGCAGGTCTACTTCTGAACGATACTCATGAGCACGTTGAAGTTCAGGTTCCTTATTTGCAGTTCCGTTATCAAAAAATTTCACTGGTGCCGTTTTAGACTTTGTAGTAGTTGCAGATACAGCATTTTTCACAGTACCATGCACAAGGTGTTTTTCCTTTGACTTTTCTTTTATTTTTTCGGTAACTTTTGCACAAAAACGTGTTGTAGCTGCAATTTTATATTTTTAGACCTTTGGAAATTCCTTTAAAACCTACATTTCATGAATATTTTTGCCAACTTTACGACAAACTTTTTGGATCTGATGTCATCCAATTTATTTTTAAATGAACTGAAACTTTTTGATTTATGTATATATCATATGTAGTTTGTCAAGCAATTCTTTTGAAAAACAGCAAGAAAAAAAGTTGCAATCCAACTTACTCCCAGACAATGACATTGATGGCACCAACTTTGCAGTTGGAAGAGTATTAGCCATCTAAAATTAAATACTTGGAGTAAAAAACAAACTGCACTGGAAAACTCATTAAGCAGCAATCTCATTTTGTAGACAGTTTATTGTGCACTGGTGCTGACACGTTTGTTTCATGGATGTAGAAGTTTTGAAATCAGATTTCATTTTTACCTCGAACTTATCCAAGAAACGTACAATCGTACGTTTGAGAATGGCTAAGTCATTTGTCAGAGGGTAGTATCTGCTGAATTCATTGTTCCGAATTAAAGGAAATTGCTCAAGATGTGCAAGTGACTTCTCAAGCAATGCCAATTTGTTCAACAGCTGTAAAACAATAAGCAGCTATAAAATTCCGGAACTATGTAGAAGTTCTACAAATTTCAATACGGAATGAGTAGTTATTGTTAAAACGTAAAGAGTTTCTTGATTACATCTTCACGTTCCTCTTTCGTCCATATGGCATAACCTTTTTTCATGATCTTCGCTTCTTCTACGAATTTATTATTACTCAAAACAATATTGTGCAACTGCTTAGTTAATGAATGACGTTTGAACATTGTGACTTTCAATGCTGTCATGCAATCAATGATTTCTGTTATCGGAAACTGAAAGAATTACAAAATAGCATTTAAATTTGATATTTTAATAAAAATTGAAAGCAGATGCGATCCTTAGCATTTATTTCAGTTAAACCTAAATAGGTAACGCTACATAATATACCAATAAGTTTTTACCATTCTATTTTCTAATCCAAAAATTAATTATACCAAACAAATTTGATGTATTTGGCGCAAAGACGTGATTATATAAATTTGATTTTTTCAGCAATAAATACTTAAATTTACTACATTAATTGCGTCCTGCTCATTATTTTGTAGCATTCATTAATCTGTATTTAGATCAACTAGTACTTCTTGTGAATAACTTTTATTTATTACTGAAAGAAGTATTCAAAACTTCACTGTAATGTCGATCTGTTCTGCTTCTAAATCATCTTTTACACGTATTTCAATGCCATCAACTTGTTCTTCTAACTTGTTCAATTCTTCACCAATTTCAGCTATTTGCTGCGAAACATCGACCGGCAAATCGGTAGTTGGTGAAGAATCATCTAAATAATTGCTGCGGTTTTTTTTTTCTGACATTCATTTACAGAGTTATGACCGCAATGTGTAATTTTTTAAATGACATCATTACAAATCGCAACAATTATCTTTAATATTAATTAGGCAACTTTAACAATTACAAGTTAGATCATTATTTCTTCGTAATTCATCCATATTTTCATAGTAAATTTTTACTGCAATGCGAAAAATAAATGAATGCATCGACACAAACAATCCATTTTTTTTGAACAAATTATGAATGAAATGACATAATTGTCAACTTCTGTTAGAAACAGTTAAAAACAAGCGTAACCTGCCAATTTATCATCTTTATTTCTTTTCACAGAAGAATTATGTGTTCCAGTACTTGTTTCTGAGATGCAAGAAGCAGAAATAGCAGCAAGTGCTTCACCTTCCATAACTTTTAGATGATTATTTACATTGTCTACACAGCGATCGAATCGTTTCAAACACTTTTCTTTCATATAAATTTCACGTTGTTGTACCTAATCATTCACTAATTGAAAGTGCGAACAGATTTTAATTAAATTTAATTAGATATGATTTCATCTTTTTGATATATATATATATATAATAAACAGGAAATGGACTAAGATGTGACGTGGACTTCACAATCTTAAACAGAGAAGTGGGTTTATGCTTCTCTAACTCCATAATGATTTTTTAGATACTGCGTTATATCAACCAGGAGAGCGACGATTTTGAAGCAGAAGAAGGCTCAGCAATTATTGTACCTATGTAAAATCTATGTACAACCTCGCAGAAAAATCCCAAACATATTATCAGCCTAGGAAGCACTTTTGTATGAGCAAAATAAAAATGAAAACCTACCATGCAAGGCTATACAAAATGCGGACAAGTAAAATCTCGTCCATTGTTGATTAATTAATATGGCTGCGATACAGTAACATTACCTGTTACCTCTAAGATAGAAATATGTTTGGTATTGAGAAAAGAATGTGTCCACACTGTAGGGAACGTGTAAACGTGGGCTATTTGGCAACACAGTGCGGAAAAATGTTACATCACGACTATACTAGAAGACAAAATGAGGTCCTACGATGCATCCACTTGGGACTCTGCAAGAAGTATGATCTGAAGGCATTCCCGCGCTTGCGAAGCTATTCTGTTCAGGAGGCCGTCGCGAATGAGAACGGAAAAATCAGATCGATACACTAGAACTGCAACTAGAATAAGAACGGATTGACCGGACATCCTGGTGTACAATAAAAAGTGACAAGAAATACTCCTCGAAGAGGTTAGCATCACTGGTTAGGACATGTTGACAGCAGTCGAGACTGAGAAAAGGCGAAAATATGATCTACTGGCTATTTAAACTCGGGTAACAGATAGACAGAATGGAAAACGAAAATAATTGCGTATGTGATTGTAAACGAACATCCATAAACGTTACGCGAAATCAGTAAATCTGATCACGTCGAGGTATATATCCAGTCGATAGTGCTCAAGAAAACGCTCGAAAGCATCTCATTCGATCAACGCTGTGGATTCGACGAGGACGAAGTACTGGAGATGAACACAGAAGATCTAAGCATGGGACAAGTACAGCCAGAGTGCCAGAATACGATCCAGCTTCAGAATCAATAAAGTCAAAAAGGAGATAGGTTAATCTTATAAACAAATGAATAAATAAATAAATAAATAATATATATATATATAT